GGAGTTTTTTCGTTTTTTCGTTTGGTTTTTTTTTTTAAGATGACAGTTTTGGGCTCGCACGAAGCAGATTTTAGGAGGGGAGCGACAGCAAGCTCTGCTTCTACCGCGGAGCCCTCTGCGGCCGCGGAAAGGAAGAGGTGGCTTACGCTGCGTGAGCGCACCGGACTAAAGGCAAATGGATGTCGCCAGAAATCATTTCAGAAAAAGACTCGTACCCCGTTGGCTTACGCTCTGAAGGGAAGGTGGAGGGGAACCAGGGAAGTGATGCTCCCCCCCCTTTTTTTTGTTTTTAATCCAATTTCTCCAACAGACTCAAGCAGACCTCTTTGAAGTCATGACCTAATTCTTACGCGGAGCCTGGGAGGTTAGCCCTAGAACTTGGATTTCTGTGACTGCGTGCGCCTCCTTGCCTTTCTTTCACATGATTTTAAGGAGGTCTAAACATCATGAGACTCCTAATGAAGTAACAGAAACAAACACCATCTTCTCCCTCTGCCCGTTTCTTTCACCTCCGGCTATCCGTGTGCTTGAAGAGCATCAATCCTGGGTTTAATACAGCACAAAGCTCCTAACTGCTTTTTGCCAAAGTCCGTGCCAAGCCCGTGCTGCATCAGCTCCACTGACGTGGGTTATTTTGGACACAGACTGACCTGGGCGCTGCTCTGAACCCGTACACCACACACATCAGGATTTTACCCTGCAAGGACTTATGCTCTGAACACTTTTTAACCCAACGTCCCACCTCAGGGAAAATATTTGGACGCTTAAAGTGAGATGTAAGCATAGGAATTTACATAAAGCCTGGTACTGCAAGGGAGCAAGCTTTTCAAAGAGGCTTGGTAATAAGAAACTATCATTCCCCAGCCACTAAAACATTATTCCCCACACTAGTGAGAAAATGGTTCCCGCCAAGCAATCCTCTCTCTTCTGGATTTTCCTCCTCCTCCTCCCATCACACAGACGTTTTGATTTTACATTCCACTGCTGCTCCTCTAGCTTTATACTGTTTATATTTAGCCCCAGCTAATTGCAAGGGAGAAGGCAGACTGTAAAAAACAAGCGCAAGCTTGGACCTGTGCAGATAATTAACATCGGTTTAACAACATTCATTATTTCGGTATTAACTCCCGCTCCGCTGCGATTGCCCAGACAGGGCAGTGAGAGCATCCCCTGCCCCAAGGGCAGCTCTCTATCTACCCTTGGAAGCTCAAGCCACCCTCAACCCCTCCGGCTCAGAGCTCCCCCGCAGGGCAACAACAAAAAAACAAACCCCAAACACCGAACAAGAGTTAAATCTGAAATCCTGCGTTGTTTCCACCTGGCTTGGGAACTTTTTCAATGTCAGCTCAACAGCGACAGTATTACTTCTTCCCTGACACCACCGGGGAACAGCCTGTTGACATTATCTAATGGAACATTTTCTCTTTAGTCCTGCCTGGCAGTTACACAGGTGTGGCCGGTAGTTTTATTAATAAATTGAAAGCTTTATTTTTTCCCTCTGAAGAACCAGCTGCGATTTCTGCTCTGTTGATTGTACAGCACACCTAGGTTTTAAAATGCAGTTAACTATATCCCAAGCTAGTTTCAAAAAAATCACTGTAACGATAAAAGAGAGGCTCTGCCCTTGCTAAGGTGGTTTAATAGGTCTCAAAATGAAATCCACACTAAATAACCACTCTAGATTTCTATCTGCTGATAATTATTTCCAGTACCTCCTTGCTTAATGAATTTAAGTGCATCACTGCCCTTACTGTTTAATTCACTGTGGGCATTTTAGTTTAAACTTTTTCAATTTATCATATACTTGTAAGCCACTGACTTCCAGAGCCAGGTGGAAACAACAATTTCAGAACTAACTTTTTCATTTGGTGTCTGGAGGTTTGGGTTGGTTTTTTTCCCGTGCAACCATTAAAACTATCCACTGTAACGATGCTTCAAAAACTTGGAAAAAATCATTACGCAGTGTGCAGTCTAGAACATGAATGCATGTTTTCCTTCTACAAACTTCTTGAATAGTACTGAAATAGATATAACAACTTCCTGACCAGAAAGTTGGTTCAAGTTCCATTTTTATCCCTATTTTTTTCCCCCAAAATGATATTTGATAGGGGATTACATTAAATAAAAAGCTAGTATTTTGCAGCACAGTCATTCTATACTAATCTGGAGTAAACACTACATATTTGTGTAGCATTTTGCAAAAGCAAAAGATTTCTAAGGTAACTTTGTCCCATCACAAGATGAGAAGGTTGAGAAGTAACAGTAAAAGGAAACTACTTGCTTCTCTGTTTGTTAAAAAAAACCATCCTCCTAAAAACTTCTTTTTTTTTTTTTCCAGGTCACTCTCATGCTGCAGTGTCCCTCTGGGAAGAGTTATTTATATTAACATCAGCCAAGCCCAAGACTCCAAAATTAGGGAAATTATTAAGCCAAGTCACCTGTTAGAAACTGGTTTTGTTCTCATTCATTGCAGTGGCTGCTGAGGAGCTACACAGGGAGACTCTGCCAGGTGCCATGCCATACTGTTTTTCAGGAGAGACAATCCTTCTTCCCAAAGCACTCGGGACCAAAGATAATCCACCAGGTCAAGAGGCAAAGAAATGACTGATTTGCTCACCCTTAGCTCCAATATAGGAGCAAGTAAGCGGTGCCACAGTAAAGAGGAGAATTAAGGACCTTATTTAATCCACACAGCAGCAGAGCTAGAAGCAGCCTCTGAAACCCCCACAGCCCCACAGATTGAAGGGTGTTACTTCAATGTTCCCCAATTCCCAGCCCATCTTCCAGAGTCCCCAAGCCTCCTGTGTGCCTGTTACTGCCTCCAACCTCACTTCAGGTTTTCAAGAAAAATACCAGACTCACAAAAAAATCCCAGTTTGGACCTACTCAATCTGTCCTCTTATTTTGACAGGAAACTATTGATGATTATTCTTTGACTGCATTTCAGTGAAGCGCGCTGGTATTCACTTAGGGGCATACTACCTACAGGAACCGTAAGCACAACAAAACCCCAGAGCTACCACACCTGCCTCCCTCTCTCCACTACAGCGGCTAACCAGAGGGTATTTAACACTCGTTCTAAGTGACTCCACTTCCCCACAGGCTCAACGCAGCCACCTGCTTCAGGACTTTTCAAGAATCTAAAGGAATTCCCTCAAATTTTATGTATGTAGTCGTTTATTTTCACAAAGACTGGAGCGGGGAGATGGCAGTTCTGCCTCTGGGGGCAGCAGTCCCCCCTTTCACCAGCCCGGCGCTGCTGCACACCCTCCGTTACCTGACAGCCGCGACCCGCGGAGGCAACGGCGACCGCGTCTGCCCGAGCAAGAGACATTTAACGACCGGCTCCCGCTGAGGAGAGCGCGGCAGCTCCCACCGGCGGGAA